GAATATGAGCGATGACAATATTCGACGTGATATCACGTTAGATGTGTGAGACTTCTATTAACTCTTTATGCTGGCAGTGGGTATATATAGGACGACCAGCTTCATCATCTCAGAGGTAATACAAGTCTCACACATCCAACTTGATATCACGTCAAATATTATCATCGCTCATATTCAATAACCCAGCTTGATTTCACCTTCTCAATCAGTCTCAATATCACAATGGCTCAAACTTCGCGCGTCGAACTCCAAAAGCACAAGTACTGGGATCAGGTTCAAACATTACCGAAAGACCTCGCCTATCTGCTTCAACCTGATGTAGATTACACTCAAAAATCGACAAAAAAAGAAGATCTCCGAGACATGATGAGGCATTTTGGTATTGACCAAAAACAATATCCTGCTAGTCTCTTGAAAGCCAAGCTTGTCGAACGTTACCAGCAGCTCCTTTTACCTGATCTTCAACCCTTTATCACCCAGGTGGATACTACTGCGAAAAAAACAAAAAATGCACACACCCTTCGAGAGGCTCCCTTCCTCCAGCCAACCACCTTGTCACCTCAAACCCTTCGCTCGGCGATCCTGACCAAGATCAGGAGTAGCTTCGTTCCCCAGGCCTTTTCAAAAACCGCGCTTACCAGACTCTGGCGACACGCATTCCACCCGCTTCCGAAATATACTTTCGCCCCGGTTGAGTTCTATACGCGCCCACATGTCTGTACCAACGAAGCCGATCTTGCTACTAAGGGTCGCGAGTGGCTTTGGCACGCTTTACAATGTGAACATCCTGAGATTTTTATACCCCTTGTGGCTTGTACAGAGCCTATCCTACGCGCCTTGTACAAACGATTCGTCCTCGAAAAGACCTCATTAGATGAGCTTTGTTATGGAGTACACTACTACATAAGTGAACCCGATTCTCCCATACATAATAATTCAGAGGGTAAAAAGCACGAGGAATCAAATGCGTCTGTCCCATTGGTCGCCATCAACGCGGAAGAAGATGGCCCCATGGACCACTCCTTATGAATACCCGTAGAACACAAGTTTTATTTTTTCGATAAGCCAATTCCTACACCTTTTAATACTATATAGTCAATTTCTCTCTTATTGTTAGTCTCCTCTAAGTCATAGCCAATACCGCAATTCATGGTTGAATCTGATTACATGGACACCTTTTTCCGACAAGCCGATTCCTCCACTGTATACTACTATAATCATGTGAATAGCTCTCTTGTTGTGTTTGAGTCGTTGTTTGAGTCCTCCCAGTAATACAAATACCGCGTATCATGATTGATTCATCAGGGAATCTTTGTCTTTTCCAAACTTTGCCGATGAGAGGTGCCAAAGTCACATGACTTCATCAGCGCTACCAACGCTCATCCTGACTCTGACCGCTGTTTCCACATTCTTGAATCTTCCTTCTTGATGCCCGGTATCATCGATTGATATACTACAACTGATGACGTTCATTGATCTATGGTTGGGTTTAGGGTACGACCTTTACAACGTCATAGCACCTTGAAAAACCTGACGCGTACACCGAGTTTGGTCTGATCATGACAGGCCTTTGTCCGACTGGAGGGGTGCAGGCTCAAAACTCGCCTTTGTCTCTCTATCCTTTGATTATCATACCGCCTTCATACTTGTTCCCCAATGTATCATCCTCCCTTAACCCAGACATTACACCATTAAACCAACCCCTCTTGATCCAACCAGATTTTCTCCTTCAACTCGATTCGAATCTCCTAGTTTTACAGAGAAATTTCAATTTAAATCAATCCTCTCACTCCATGTCCATGTCTTCACGCAAACTCACCGGTGGCGAGGCCGATCAAAAACCAGTTGAGCACTACAATAGCCAGGACATCGTAATCCTTACCCCCGAACGACCACCCACTCACACGCGTGGTGTATGTTTACTCCAGACTCCAGCGTGAGACCATTCCATAATTATCACCCTTTTCCCGTTTGAGATCCTGAACTTGAAGCACTTTGAGGTGCACTAAGCTGACTCTAACTTGACTTTTTGAGCCATCTTCAGCATCGGTCAGAGCCCTACTCCTCGGATCAAGGACAAGCCTATGGACTTCGGGGCCAGCGCCATGGGAATCAAGAATGATCAATTGACCTTTCTGAAGGACATGTTATCAACGCCAACGATCATCATAACTCCGGATGGACTCAGCTACCACGGTGGAGTACACATACCCCGGAACCACTGGTGGGTATACAGACTCATTCGCCCAGTGCTTTCGATATTCGCACCGCTAGTTCCACCTACCTTGTACTCACTCAGAACTTCTCCCAGGGTGATGATCGATGGACGACCGAACCTCTTGTTTGATCAAATGCAACCAGGTCAGATGCCCAAGTTCGAGGACATGTCCATGCGCGAACTCGCCGAGTGGCGACTCGGAGTCATGATTCAAACCCCCGAAGCTGGCGTTCTATTTAATCGCGCGTTTAACTTGAAACGCGCAGAAGAAGGCTTCAGCCACCTCACATACCCGGTTCCTTTCACAGGGGATATGCCTGACGACGTCGATGAGATGATCATCAGTTTAGAATACGACACCCACTTCATTACACGTTGCATCTCGCTCGCCGAGGACGCAGCCGCGCACAATCGGTTAAGCCTTGTTCCGAGCTTATCGATGTTACACGGTGTTGACTTGAGGGACACTAGGTGCTCATCAAACTCTTCCGATGCTAGCGATAAGGCCTCAAATCGTGATGGCTTGCAAAATCCCAGTTGTGTGAACAAGAAGCGTAAGTGTAATCAAACATTCTCACCTTTGAGAGAGTCGAGTCTCACTGACAACAATTGACCTTGTTTTTGTATGATAGCGTCTGTCGGAAATTTGCCCCTTGATAGACGGTACAGTCAATCAAAACCGCAAACTCCTCAAAATCCTAAAAAGCGCGAAGGAGATCAATCTCCTGACCCCCGTTTTCCAAAGCGCCAACGCGCTTGATGAAAACACAACAACAGGTGAGATTTTGTACCCCTCTTCTTCGATTAGAGATGAGAATGTTCCATCAGACTGACCTGTTCATTCGAATGCACAAACTGGCCCACCAGGCTCTCCTTGATTGAGTCATGTAGCCATCTTGTATAAAGGGATGTCAGATTGGTCTCTTCATGCCTCATAATAATCATTATGTCAAGCTTGTTTATCCTTATATTTAATTAGCTTTGGTATTTTTCAACCAATGACACAAGAATTGCTTTAAAGGTATCAATTTAAAAGGTCTGAACAAATTGTTGTATTCAGTAAACAATATGTGGAGGTGTACTTAACACTTAGCTCAGCTTGTCAACAGGTGTAGCTAGCCTGCATGGAATAGTGTTATGTGAATAGTTTCTTGGAGATCTATGACTGGATCCCCATGTCAAAATCCCACATTAATAAATCCATGAGGGTGGCTCCATTACATACAAGAATCATGATTTCCTTGAACAATGATTCACCTTTGTTCACAAGAATTATGTATTTAGATATCATAGAAATTTCTACTTGGCAGGGCACACACTGATATTGTTAGTCTAATCTTGAGTGTCCAAGCCAGGCAAGGAGGCAAGTTAAAAATACTAACCTCTTTGAGGTTTCCTTGAACTTTTGATCCGCGCCCAATGATTTGGAAGTCTGGAAATATTTTGCAGATTGTGGAGCAAACTGCTGGGCCATGATGATGTGGCAAGGTGCAACAGATTGAAATACACCACAGCCGTCATGCTTTGTGCATAACGTACCACAGTGGTTGTGTCACAGTCAATGCTCAGTGTTTTGCATGATGATGTGTGATCATGGGGTTGTGGTGAATTAGCAGTTGGATAATGGGCAACAAAACCCCACAATGGCCCCACTGCTTAGCTATGGATGCAACAATAGCCTTTTCTCCATTAAGCGTTAGTATCTTTGGACTCATACAGTTGAGCCCCGGCAATCACATAATTTGAGTGGAAGACTTTTGGTATGCAATTCTGTTGTCAAATTTGGCATTAGAAAGAATCAAGATTAATTGTATTTTCTATGCATTATCACGGGTTAGGCGTAATCACAGGGTATGCAGCTGCGCGGGTATGCAATTGTACAGATTTGACTGTATCAAACTGAAGTTGCATTCAATTCAAGGTCTTCATTCATCTGACTTCCTGTTGGGCCAAGTGTGTATGCTGCCAGAGTGCTATTGGTGTTGCGCTATGGCATGTGGTTGCCTGCTGTGTTGCCAATTTGTCAGGCAGAAACAAACCGCTGTGTCACACTGCAACAACCATTGCCAGCAACAGATTCCAGTGGTCCAGAATTGTGGATCAGCTGTTTGTGGATGACTTCACTTTCTTATACAAGCGAGACTTTTGAAGTATCTCACTCAGCTATCCATGAAGGCTCCCTTTGCTGAGCTACCCTCACCAGTATACCTATTTCATTTCCTTCAAGAGTCCCCATGAAATTCCTAGTACAGGATTGTGGTCATTGCTTTTCCCTGGGGGACCCGGATTCCCGCCTGGGAACCTCTTTAATGCTGGCAGTGTTGGATTAAAATTTTCTCTTTTTCTAAATGCACAAGATACAGAATGACACCTGCCAAGATTTTATTTGTTGGGAATTTTCAGTATTGTGAGGTGAATATGCCAACTGTATCTATTGCTTCACTCACAGCTTTTCCCCTGGATTCCAAATTCTGAGAGCCGTTAAAATGATTTAATGAATTCTACAAGGGAAGGAAGAAATTGAGACTAGATTTTATCAAATATGATGTTTTGATTGAATGTTTTTTTCTGTTGATGCTGAGAACATTTTATTGAAGATTATTTCCTTTTCATTTTTTTTGTTAGTGGGAAATAAAGTATTAGAAACAGGTGCCCAGATTATTATGAAGGATTCATTTGCAGTAGAATAATTAAAAGGATCAGATAAAGGTAAAAATCAATTGAAAGAACAAGATTTAGCAGGAATCAAACTTAAGATATCTTACATTTCATTCCACCTCAAAAGAGCTAAACATTTGATAATTAGGAAACTCATCTTGAAGGTTTGTTCGATTTATTGTTCATTTCTATTGATCTTCCTTCCAGGATGTTTGGTATGATATATAGTCTGGAATCTAGAGGGTTGTGAATGACAATCTAAGATACCTGGATCTAGATTCAAGGGGTGAAAAAGAACCATAGTCTTTGATTTAGTTGGATTTTGCCCAATAGTGGTGACTAGATTCTCATTGCAAGACCTTGAACTCTACTAACAGAATAGTTTGGCTTATTTAATTAACTCACACTTGATGCTATGAAATTCTTAAGAAAAGATGCTACATACTGAATTTATTGAACCAGAATTTGACCGTTAGTCTTCCTCAGATGCTATTCAATAATCTATTGAGGCTAATTTTTCTTCCACTACAAGAAAGATAATATTTTCTGGGCAGAAAATTAAATT